CAGTAACATCATCTGTCACTTTTACTTTTCCCCAGAAAAGTAAATTCATGCCCCTCGCAGCATGAAAAAATACATATAAATATATTTACTGAAACTCTATGTAATAGATGCTTTGTAAATCTAAGTGTGTAATTCTCATCAGTGCTCCATAATTTTAGTCTTTCCATTCAACAGAACACAAAAATTAAAGAAGTCAAGCAAAGGCAAATTTCAGTAAGTGGAGGTGACTGTATATGTATTCACCAGTTATTGGATATACTATTTTATATATGTCAATAAAGTCATTTGCTAATTTCTATCATTAATGATTTTTAATCTCCTGTTCTAACCATTACTGAAAGATGCTAAGATATTCAACAATAACTGTGATCTTCAACATGTGACTGTCCCTAAGTCATATTTTTACTTTTGTTAATCTTTGATTTGCACATCCTGAAACTGTTATTAGGGGCTTTTTAAAAAGATTTTATTTATTTATTCATGAGAGACACAGACAGAGAGAGGCAGAGACACAGGCAGAGGGAGAAGCAGGCTCCATGCAAGGAGCCCAACGCGGGACTTGATCCTAGGTCTCCAGGATCACACCCTGGCCTGAAGGCGGCGCTAAGCCGCTGAGCCACCCGGGCTGCCCTGTTATTAGGTATTCATAAATTTGTGATTACTATGTCATCTTTTTAGATTTAAACATTCATCATTATGAAATATCTCCCTGTTATCTCTCATGTTTCTTGCCTTAAAGTCTTTTAATATAGAGATACCAACTTTCCTTTAGTTAGTATTTGCATTATTATATCTTTAATATTCCTATTTTCAACTTTTCTGTCATTATACTTAGTGTGCCAGCTGCTAAATTCATATAATGTGGTTGATTTTGTTCTTTTCATCCAGTCTGACAGGTTTCTTTTTATTAGAGTGTTTAGCCCACTTTAATTGGATTAAATTACTAATAATTTTGAGTACATCAACATTTGCCCTGTGTCCCCTTCGATTTCCTTGTTCTTTTATTCCACTATCCTTACCTTCTGTTGTATTAGTCAAATACATTTTATTCTACTTTTCCCCACTAATTTATACTGTCATAACTTATTCTTTTAGTGATTAGCATAAAGACTGCGATATTATGCTTAACCTAGTACAACTCGAATTCTCATGCAGTGCTTGTGAGAACATGACACACTGGAAATGTACAAAACTAAACACAGATGTATTATATAACCCAGCAATCCTACCTCTGTGGATATCCATGGGAAAAAAGAATGCTTATGTCCACAAAGTACATGTATAATAATGTTCATAGCAGCAGTAACTCTAAAGAAAAAAATTAGAAACAGCCCAAACTTCCAGTAACAGAAGAACAGATAAATAATTTGTGCTACATCCTATCATGGAATACACCACAAAAATAAGGTGCCTGTTACACGCAACAATATGAATCTCATAAAGATGTTGGAAAAAAATTAATTATGTGAAGTTCAAAACAGATTTTGAATGCAGAGGTACATAGAGAAGACATTTTTATTCAGTGAGACCCCATTGACAGGGCAAACTATCCAGTTCCAACATTATTCCCTTGAATAAATACATCTATCCAGGTTGCTGTCATCTGCATTTACCCAGTAGAAACCAATACTACATTGCTGAATGACACACATAAAAATTCCCAGATGGTACTGGAAGGGGAGGTAGAGTTGGTCAAGATACAGGAGTTACACATCAAGTAGCAGGAATTGCCCAGGTAAAATTCAGATTTAGCAATAGTTGATTGGTTTAAAATAAATTATGTTATTGAGATTTTTTAAAAGATTTTATTTATTCATGAGAGACACACAGAGAGAGAGGCAAAGACATAGGCAGAGGGACATGCAGGCTCCTCACAGGGAGCCCAATGTGGGACTCAATCCCGGGACTGATCCCGGAACTCGCTCTGGGACTCCAGGATCACGCCCTGAGCCGAAGGCAGACGCTTAACCACTGAGCCTCCCAGGAGTCCCTATTATTGACATTCTTGATTAGTAAGATATTCAATGCAGTTATAAAAAATATAATCTAAAATATGATCAATTATATCTAATAAAACTGGAGGAAAATATAAAAAATTCAAAACATGTTCAATAGTAAAAAGCTCACAAATACTCAATGGCAAAACTAAGATTTTAATTTAGATACTGTAGACTAGGGGTCAGTAAACTTCTGTAAAGGATAAGATAGTAAATATGTTAAGCTTTGTGGGCCCAAAGCAAAATCAAGGGTATTATGTAGATGCTTATTTAACAAGAGAGATAACAAATTTCCACAAATTTTTTTATTGACCAAATTCAAAACTTTGTGAACAATGAAATTTGAATTTCATATAATTTTCACATGTCATGAAATATGACTCACCTTTGATGTTTTTAATTATTGAAAAATATTAAAACCAGTCTGAGTTCACAGGACTCCCACAATGGGACAGAATCTGACCTCTGCTCAAGACCAGAAACCATTATATAGTACACTGAAATCAATCCAAACCATCTATCTACCTTGCCATTTTTCCACTCATGTGTCTGAAGAATATCTGAAGTATCTAATGTGTATTTCCACCTAAGCATTGGTCTCTTCCTTAACAAGTCACTCTGTAAAGTAAAAAAGGACTATTTCTGCATCATGAAAACATTTAGACAATACAAGGGGAGGTGTTGGCAAGTGGTTATATGAAAATTAACTGTAGGGAGAGCATTTGATGAGGAACTGGGAAAGGAGATTCATCCTCGTGGTACCATCATTAACTGGGAAAAGAAGGCCTAGAGACCAGGCAAATGTATAAGTCACTATTTGGCAAGACACATTTCAGAGGAAGTTATTCTATATCCTGAAAAAAATGAAATTTCATAGAACAAAGATAAAGCTCAAAATGACTTCTAGGGATCCCTGGGTGGCGCAGCGGTTTAGCGCCTGCCTTTGGCCCAGGGCGCGATCCTGGAGACCCGGGATCGAATCCCACGTCGGGCTCCCGGTGCATGGAGCCTGCTTCTCCCTCTGCCTGTGTCTCTGCCTCTCTCTCTCTCTCTCTCTCTGTGACTATCATAAATAAATAAAAATTAATAAAAAAATTTTTAAAAAAAAAAAAACAAAATGACTTCTAGCTTGGCTATGAGATGTGTAACTTTAACAGTGTTCCCTCTTACTGTTCTTCTTTTGGAATATAACAAAAATTGGAAGAAAAAGAGAAGCATAACATACCAGGCCTTTCCTGGAACCCAGACAAGCTAAACAAGAACACATTTCCTCATCACTAGTAGGCCCCCATGGTACATATTAAACATACACTAAATGAAGTATGAGAAAGAATGGAATACTGCTGACTTCCCTGTATCATACAGAAAACCCAGGTTCACTGAAGCCTGGGACTGGAATCTATTTCTATATTCACAGCAGTTTGCTATCAACAGAGCTGTAAAAATGCTGTGGATCTGCAATAAGCAACTGGCCCCCAGGGAGCAGCCAACAGAAATCTTCCCAGGAAGTAATCCTTCTCTTGGTGTCTCAGTATCTGGTCTTCCCAGCACCCTGCCTTGGGGGCAATTCCAGCTCTAAAATCGCCATAATGAACACCGGCTGTACTTTTTTAGTTGTGTAGAACCCTCATTCTAGGTCTCAAATGTTCAACTTCACCGGTTGCCTGGGTAGCTCAGCATCATCCCCGACGGAGCCCGCATTGGGCTCCCTGGTCAGAGAGGACTCTGCTTCTCCCTCTCCCTCCCCTTGCTGTGCACGCACTCACTATCACTCTCTCCTTCTCAAATAAATAATAAATAAAATATGTTTAGGGAATCCCTGGGTGGCTCGGCGGTTTAGCGCCTGCCTTCGGCCCGGGCCTGGTTCTGGGGTCGCAGGATTGAGTCCCACATCCGGCTCCCTGCATGGGGCCTGCTTCTCCCTCTGCCTGTGTCTCTGCCTCTCTGCCTCTCTCTCTCTCTCTCTCTCCTGTGTTTCTGCCTCTGTGTGTGTGTGTGTGTGTATCTTTCATGAATAAACAAAATATTTTTTAAAAATAAAAATAATAAAATATTTTTTAAAAAAGAAGGCCCAGTACAAAAAAATTCCAAGTGTAACTTACAATTGGATCCAGAATAGGCTACACTTAATGTACTCTATTCCTTCAATACATTAAGCACTGGACTGTACAATACATACAAGGTGCAATGATGAAAGCATGAAGGCAACAAGAAGCCATCCTTTAGAACAGGAGGCCTCGGTGGTTAACTAGGGCCTCGAAGTCTTTCACAGCACAATCTGAGTCACACGGGATCTTGTCCACAGATTCTTCAGCACCAAAACTGCAAAAAAATGAAGCTCTACCTTACCTAAAAATAAAAAAGCTACACTAGGCCAATTCTGATTAGCCTCCAGCTGGTCACAACGGCGCTGTTACGGAATCCCTCGGTACAACACACCTCACAGTCACAACTGACCGTGGTCATAAAAAAGGCTCCGCCTCCCACTCAGTCCCTGGAGCCTAATCTGGACCATTCAGGTCCTCCCCACGACGCGCGCGCACACATACACACACACTCTGACACACGCACACACTCTCATCATGACATCCCACGCCGAAGCGGTCACACTATCGCACACACCCACAGTCACCTTCTCCCCCCAGGCCTGCCTGCACCTGCTCCACACGCGCCTGGGAAACTCCGAGCCGCCTGCGGTCAGCTCCTCCCGTACCCGGACCCGGCGCACTTCAACTCACCACACGGAAAACGGAGACCGCAAGCCTAGCGGAAAATGAATCGGACGGTGAGGTTCACTCGCCCCCCCCCCCCCCCCAGGGCCAGTGAGAAACGCAGTCCTCTCTGGTAAAGCGCGGACGCAGACACGGTCCTGAGAGCCGGTAGCCTGGTCAGCTAGGCGGCTAACGCGCCGCCCCGTAGACTCCTGGGAGCGCCGGCCCACGCGGGAGTGCGCAGGCGCAGACGGCTGATCCTTGGCCGGGGGAGAGGTTGGTAGGTCTTAGGGGCTCCGAGGAGGCGGGAACCCGGGGCTCCCGCCGAGAGGGCAGACTGGGGAGCGGGTCCCGGTGGGGAGGCCAGGGAGGAAACAGGAGTTCAAGCCGGACCTGGTAATTCTGAGGAGGGAACCGGAGCCGAGCCCACGGTAACCAGACCCTCGGATCTGTGCTAGCGGGGCCTCGGGCGTGGTCCGTGGGCGTGACCCTGAGGGTGACAATCGAGTTTGACCTGAAGCGAGCTCCGCGCGGAGGGGCGGGGGGGAGGGAAGTTGACGGGGAGCGCGGCCTCATACAGCGAGCGGTGTGTGTGTGTGTGTGTGTGTGTGTGTGTGTGTGTGTGTGTGTACCGAATTGAGGCGGCCTCCGGTGCCCGACCTGCTGCGTTTTGGGTACCTACTACTCTGAGATGTTGCGACCGATTGTGTGTGAAAAGTGGACGGAGTTGTGTTGCTGCTTGGGGTTTCCTCCTCCTGTGTCTAATTTCGGACTAGGTGTGAGTCCTGCTAGACACTGTAGACGACTATGGAGAAGCGAAAGTGATTTTGTGCCTTTGCCTGGAATTTTGTAATGTGCTGTCTGAGGTTGTAAATGACATATGGATACTGTGAGACGGTGGTTTTCTGAAAAGTTTGATTGAATGTAATTATGCATGTGTTTATAACCTACTGTTACTATTTGTAATGGTTTTGTGATTGAGAAACTGCATGATCACTGTCTAGTTGGGCATTGAAGATTTGATTATCTGAAGAGCCGTCATTAAGCCTGCCTCCAAAATTGTACCTCAATAGCAATTTAGCAAATAGAAGTATAGTATTAGAAAGGAAGAGGTAAGATTTCATTTCCTAGATGGTAAGATTCATTAGAAATTAATAGTGTTCCATGAATAGCAAGCAGTAAACAATTTTTGCCCATAACTAGCACTTTCAACACTGATATATGAGTGAGTTTTCCTACTTCTGGATGAAGTTAGTGGCATGGTCAATAGCTTCTTCAGGCACTCCAAGATAATAAAAAAGTATTTAGTATACTTTTAACCACAAGGCCAGTCTCATTTTAGTAGTTAAAATAGTTTGCTAATTAAAATATCACTGTAGCAGTCAGTACTTTAGACTTCATTTAGCACAATATCCTCTTCTTCCCAGGAAGCCTACAGAGTGGAATGATCAATTTCTTTTCTAGTTCCATAACTGTACAACTAAAAAGTGTTGTTCAATAGCTAATCTTTAAATTAACTTAGTAAATTAATAACAAGTTAATTTTCAATAACTGTGCATATTAGTTGATACAGATTAATCAAAGATTAAGTAGAAGAAATTAAAGTTCAGATATTCTCAAGCATGTAGGGATATGTGATATAGAGATGGCATTTCACACCAATTGAAAAAATATAGGTTATTTAATATACACTATTGTTAAACAAGAAAATGTACAAGGAAAAAACCTTCACAAGGTAAAAACACTTTTTAAAGATTTTATTTATTTATTCATGAGAAACACACAGAGAGAAAGGCAGAGACATAGGCAGAGGGAGAAGCAGGCTCCCTGCAAGGAGCCAGATGCCAGACTAGATCCCGAGCCCCAGGATCACTCCCTGAGCTGAAGACAGACACTCAACTGCTGAGCCACCCAGGCATCCTGGTAAAAACACTTTAATAGTCATATGAGCAACTAAGAAAAATTATTTGCAATTTTTAAAAAGGGGTTAGTTTACTAAACAAAAAAAGGAAGATAATATCAAGCAATTAGGAAATTAAAACATATGAGAAAAATAGACATACTATACTAAGATGCCATCATAGAAAAGACATAAAAGGAGCTTATTCTCTCATAATAAGAAATGTGTAGGGGATCCCTGGGTGGCTCAGTGATTTAGCGCCTGCCTTTGGCCGGGGTGTGATCCTGGAGTCCCGGGATTGAGTCCCGTGTCGGGCTCCCGGCATGGAGCCTGCTTCTTCCTCTGCCTGTGTCTCTGCCTCTCTCTCTCTCTCTCTCTCTCTCTCTCTCTCTCTCTCTCTCTCTTTCTCTCTCTGTGTGTCTATCATGGATAAATAAATAAATCTTTAAAAAAAAAGAAATGTGTAAACTAGAACTACAATATATATCTGATAGGGATTAAAAATGTTTGTCAACTGCATTCATCAGGGTGTGGGGAGGTATTCCCATGTACTGATGCTAATAGTGTAAATTGGTAGAAAGTCCATGAAGAACTATTTGGAAATATATGATAAACCTGTTTTCCATGCGAGATGGAAGGTAGAGCTGCAGAGAGAAAAGCACAATGTTCCCTCTCTCCAGCAACAACAGATTGCCCAGATTCATTATAACACAAAGAGACTAGGTTTCTGGTGGTGAGGGAGCAGGATTTGTCCTTTTTTCCCACTAATCTCCACCTTGGATACATGTGGGTGCACATAGTGGGCAAGTACTGAAACAGTGAAAATTGATGCAGAGTTAACTGAATTATTCTGGGAGATCTAAGTCAAATATGATTTCACATGGCTCTTTCTATCCTCCCATCTCTGCTTTCTCAGGATTCTTCCCTTTTCCAAAAGAAAGGCTCAAAAGAGAAGGTTCATCTCTTGCAAATCTCAAAGCCATGCCTCAGGTGAGATGATATTTCCTCTCTTTCTGAAATAAGTTGTTTTCAGGTGATGTAAACATTTGCTTCCCTATTCTTAAATTTCCTAGATGTTGGCATTTGCTTCCATGAAACTGATCTCCAGTGGGGCAAGCAAGTGGCCTAAGTGCAAAATGTAAGGAGTACTTTCAGTGTTGTGCATCCCCAAATTTTGCACCCTACATTCCTCACGTGTCCTACCTAGTTGCAGCCCTGTTCCCAGATTTTCTTATTCCAACCAGATAAACATAAGACTTCCCCATGTGTACCTTCTAATTGTAGACAGTGTTTATATTTTGACTCGGTATATTATTCATCATCTCCTTTCTTAGTTTTCTCACACAAGTACTGCTGGAACAGAAATGTGTTATTTTGATTTAAAAGAGAATATATTAGTTTAATGAATCTATTCATCTTTAATGAATCTATCTTGCCTAGACACTGATTTGAGATCTAAGTTGGGGGAGTCAAGGAGCAGACATGGAAAAACTTTGATCATCTCCACTTCCCTAGGTTTTGCAATGATAGAACAGGAGGTAGAGTTGGTAAATCACATTATTAGTTTGTGGTAAGATGTCTTGTTTTGGGAGGTTTCCAAGGTAGAGATCTGCTTGTAAGCGTGTACAGAAAACTGAGATTTTGTATTTTCCCTCTGTGATCTTCCTATCCATTTTATCCAGTTCTTAAAAATGGTGGTCAGCTCATGAAAACCTTTCCAGTATTTCAATCCTGTTACAGATTTATTCTTATCTTTTTAGTTTCTTCTAATTTTTTATATGTAGATACAGCAGAATGAAATGCATATACTAGTCCATTCTGGAAACATCCTACTTTGAATCAGACATAGTACTTTTTCCTGTTTTCATGTCTTTCAGAAAATTCTTCTTCATCTACCCATCTTCAAAGTATTGGTTTTCCCCCAGATGCCAAGTGGTTCTCTTCTCTTCATGGTCTCTTTTTCTTTATGCACAGATTCACTCTAAAGGTTATACTGATCTAATTCTAGTGACTCTCAAATACCTTTCTCCATCCTAGACTTCTATTCAGAGTGTCAGAACCATATATCCAATCCCCAAAAGTCACAGCCACCTGAATGTCCCATAGACACTTAAAGTACATTTTTAAGGTTTACTTCATTTCCTCCTTTGGTCCAGCTTATTCTTTCTCCTGTTTTCCATTTCCATTTTCTAGTCTCAGCACATCCCAGTTGCCTATGCAGGTAACCCAAGAGCCACACATCTTTTTTCCACTCTACAACCAATTTATGACCAATTTGGTTGCAACCCATTATGTACTAACCAGTTCTCCCCTGTCTAGATCACTAATACCACCTTAATCTAGGAAACATCTCTAACAATGGTTATTTATCTATTCAAGCCTTCTCTAGTCTTCAGAATTGCCTCTGAAGTATAAATTTTATCAAATAACATGTGCTTTTTAACATTTCTTTATATTCCATAAAGCAGCTGACCAAGCAAAGTGGAGTATGCATTAGAATGGAATGTACAAGACAGTATATTGAAAGGGAAGAAAATACTAACATTGCATTCAAGAGCAGATTGTTAACTCTATGGATTGCCATTAATGCTAATGACATAAATATAAAGATGTGGAGAGTGTTCTCGGTACATTTTTAAAACCACTGCTCTATAGGAAAATATCTAGTATTATTCAATAAACATGCCCACTGCCTACCTCCATATGCATTTTTCTTCTCAGAGACTTGCCTAACATACTGTATCTTTTATGGTTTCCTCAAGTTTATTAACTAATTTTCTTATCCCCATGAATTTTAAAAGCTGATGCCCTGTACAAAACATTCATTTTGAGTACAAAATTTTGATGTCCTCAGTGAAGCTTGGGATACAAAATTAAAATTTTCTTCACTTTGTAGCACTTTCCCTTGTACATATTTCTGTCATTGCCTCTGTAATATCTGTTAGGTATATGTATTTATATGTATGCCTCTCAATCGGTAATTTCTCACAACAAAGGGTTTTATTCATTTTGGTCCACCAGGCAACCAGTTATATTTAAGGCAAATAGTATGATCTTATATATTTTTAGCATGAGCTAGTAAGTAAATATAAAATGTATTATCAGAGAGAATCTTCTGCAAGTCTGACCACTGAATATGGTCTCCAATATCTAGTTCTTACTAGTTCCAATCACTTTAGGATGAACTAGAGTATGCCCTTACAGGGATCAGTGTCATTCAAGGATGTGACTGTGGACTTCACCCAGGAGGAGTGGCAGCAACTGGATCCTGCACAGAAGGCCCTCTACAGGGATGTCATGCTGGAAAACTATTGCCACCTAATCTCTGTTGGTAAGGACACTTCCTTGAATCTTTCAGCGTCATACATCTCCTTTCAAGAATTTCTAAAGCATTTGGAGCTTTGAATTTTAGAGATCAAAGGTGATGAATCCCTTTCTGTTAGCAGCTAATGTGATTATGTCCTCACTTGCCTAATGCAAAATATTAACTTGGTAAGATGTTAATGTATACCTTGTCTGTTGCCTTGGAGCAATATCTTTCTCTTCCTTCAATAGTTTTGAAGCCCAAGCAGCTTAGATCAAGTCTCATTTTTTATTACCAGGGTTTCACATGACTAAGCCTGATATGATCCGCAAGTTGGAACAAGGAGAAGAACTATGGACAACAGAAAGAATTTTTCCAAGTCAAAGCTACCTTGGTGAGTCTGTACAGATAAAATCCAGTGGACTCAGGTAGACACCTTTGATTGTTTTTGAGGGCTCTTTTTTAAATTGTGGTAAAATACACATCAGATAAAACTTATTATCTTAACCATTTTCAAGCATATAGCTCAGTGTCATCAAGTACATTTACATTGTGCAACTATCACCACCATCCAGATAGATGTTCAACCACTGAGCAACCCAGGTGCCTCAATGTACGTGGAGATCTTAAGTTTGAAGTCCTTTGAATTCTGACAGAAGCAAAAACCCATGTATATCACACCCAATATAAAGCACATTTCCATTAACCCATTAAGTTCCTTTAGGCCTCTTCTAAGTCAGTCCCTCCCACTAGGACAATCACATGTGTGATTAATACCAGCATATATTAGTTTTGTCTATTCCAGACCTTTTTCATATCCACTTTAACTCAATATGTCAAATATATTTTTTTGCATACACAAGTAGTTTATTTTAATTACAGAATAGCATTGGTTGTATGAATATGCCAGATTGTTTGTACATCTCCAGTTCACAGACATTTGAAATGTTCTAATTTGGGGCCGTTATGAATAAACCTATTGTGAACATTCCTGTAAACATCTTTCTGTGGACGTATGTTTTTTTTTTTAAGATTTTATTTATTTACTCATAAGAGACAGAGAGAGAGAGAGAGAGGCAGAGACACAGGCAGAGGGAGAAGCAGGCTCCATGTAGGGAGCCCAACATGGGACTCAATCCCAGGTCTCCAGGATCAGGCCCTGGGCTGAAGGCGGCGCTAAACCGCTGAGCCACCTGGGCTGCCCTGGACATATGTTTGTATTTCTCCTCAGTAAACACCTAGCAGGTGGTATTAGGCAGGTCTATATTTCCTTTTTTAGAAATTGTCAGTTTTTAAAAGTTACTGTACCATTTTAAACCTTTACCAGAGTTTTTTTTTTTTAATTTTTATTTATTTATGAAAGTCACAGAGAGAGAGAGAGAGAGAGGCAGAGACACAGGCAGAGGGAGAAGCAGGCTCCATGCACCGGGAGCCCAATGTGGGATTCGATCCCGGGTCTCCAGGATCGCGCCCTGGGCCAAAGGCAGGCGCCAAACCGCTGCGCCACCCAGGGATCCCAGTTTTTTTTTTTTAAGATTTTTTATTTTATTTATTCATAGAGACAGAGAGAGAGAGGCAGAGACACAGGCAGAGGGAGAAGCAGGCACCACACAGAGAGCCCGACATGGGACTCGATCCCGGGTCTCCAGGATCACGCCCCGGGCTGCAGGCGGCGCTAAACCGCTGCGCCACCGGGGCTGCCCTTTACCAGAGTTTTGATTGTCCCACATTCTCTTCTGAATTTGATGTTATCAATATTTTCATTTTGGTCATACCGAAGGGCATGGTAGTATATCTTTGCAGCTTTAATTTAGATATCTCTTATGATTGATGATGTTGAGAACTTTTTCAAGTGCTTCTTCAAGGTGCCTATTCAAATGTTCTGCCCATTTTTATTGGGTACTATATTTTTTCCTCAAGTAGTAGGAATTCTTTACATATTCTGGATAGAAGTCTTCTGTTTGATATAGGTATTCTGAATATTTCCTCAGGTCTGTCTTTTCCTCAGCTTGCCTATTTATTTTAGTAGTGTCTTTCAATAAGCACAAATTTTTAACTCTGACGAAATCCAGTTTATCATTATTTTCCTTTATAATTACTTATTTGACCTCTCAAATATTTGCCTTATACTAGGTTGTAATGATAGTTTTCTATATTTTCTTCTAAAAATGTCATGAGTATTTTGCTATTTTTTTTAATTTTTATTTATTATTTATGATAGTCACATAGAGAGAGAGAGAGAGAGAGAGAGAGGCAGAGGGAGAAGCAGGCTCCATGCACCGGGAGCCCGACGTGGGATTCGATCCCTGGTCTCCAGGATCGCGCCCTGGGCCAAAGGCAGGCGCCAAACTGCTGCGCCACCCAGAGATCCCATATTTTGCTATTTTTATTAATTCTGCAGACCATCTCACATTAAGTTTGCTTTATGATGTGAAGGGCTGAAGGTCTTTCTTCCTTATGGATGTCAATTCCTCCCATCACTTGTTACATTGAATTAAATTGCTTGGTGATCTTATCAAAATTTTTAGACTGTTCTTTCCTTTGCTATGTTTTAAGTCCCATTGCCATTCTAGTCTTTGATTCTTTGATTATTGGAATTTTCTAATAAGTCTTAAAGTCACAGTCTTCTTTCTTCTTTTAAAAATTGTTTTGGCTATTCTGGGTCATTTTCTTTTTCAGATACGTTTTAGAATCAACTTCTTCATTTCTTTAAACAAATGAGCTGGGATTTTTATTGGTGAGAAATAACATCTTAGCAATATTGAGTCTTCCAGATCATCACTATATCTTTCTATTTTAGTTAGCTTCTCTACTTCCTATCAGTAATGGTTTATTATTTTTAGTATAGAGGTTTTATACATATTTCATTATGCCTAATCTTTTAACATTTTAATAGGATATTTAAAATTTTTTTCCAGTTTGTTGTTAATGTATGTACCCACAATTGATTCTTATACATTGATTTTGCATAACTTATTGTATTGTTTTCTACTATTAAGTTTTATTGTTGTTGCTGTTGTCTCTTGTTTGTTTTGGTATATTCCTTTAGTTTTTTGTATACAAAACATGCCTTCTAGAAAAAAGATATCTCACTTCTACATTTGTATATGTTACTGCTTTCATTTCTTTTTCCTACCCTGTTCTTACTCTGTTGTACTGACTAGGATCTACAGTACAATGTTGAATAGAAGTGGATAGAGTGAACGTTCTTATCAGTTCACTAAATTTAGAAGGAAGATATTTAATATTTCATTATTGAGCCTAATATTAACATAGGCCTTTCTTAAGTGCTCTTTATTAAATTTTAAAAATTCTTTTCCTAGTTTTCTGATTGTTTTAACTATGAATGTTGATTTTAACATGCTTTTTCTGCATTGAGATGATCATATGATGTTTCTTCTTTAATCTATTACTATATGTATGACATAAATTAATTTGAATTTTAAACCAAATTTGGACTCGTGGGATGAACCCCAGTTGGACAAGATGTAAAATCCTTCTTCTAGATTACTAAAATTGGTTTGCTAAGTTTTTAGTTTTAAGTTTTTATGCATGATTTTACCAAGGATAGTGGCCTGTAGTTTTCTTGTAATGTCCTTGAAAAGTTTTTGTATCAGAATTGTGTCAGCGGTATCAAACAGGGTGTTTCCTCTTTATCTATTTTCTTATAGGATTTGTGTAATATTGGTATTACCACTTCTTTAAATGTTTGATGAACATTTAAGGCTATCTGGGCCTGCATTTTTATAAATCAAGACTACTACTTCCAGCCCTGAGAAAGTAACAGAGTCTGGAATTATACTCCTACAGGAAACGAGAAAACTGGACAAAACTATTTTCAGATGTTGAACAACAGGGAGCACAGGCCTGGATTCCTGAGAAAAGATAAAGAAATAAGATGAGCCCTACTTCATTCCAGGCTTTCATCTGAAGGCAACTTCCAGACTACAGTACAGAGAAAGGAATCCAAAAAGAACCTGGCAATTTTACTGACTTGAGGGGACTGATGTTGGCATTCAAGGAGATTGAGGTTGCTAAAATTTCGAGGACATACTTCCCAAAAGAAGTGAGCTGTGGAGAAAGAGTTCCCCAAATCTGGAAGAGGTTATCCTTGAGTCTTTGGCTAAATATAAGCCTGCACTTACATAGGTGAAACCCTGTGAGACTAGACAAAGACATGTTCTAAGGAAAATACAACTACCATGGTGTTGTAAGATGAACAATTTCCATAGCCTGTTGCACAAAGAATCATTTTATTTCTCTCTAGCCAGAATGGGGAGAACTTGTTGATAAATAGGATGGCAGATAGACATCCTAGAAAGGCTACACCTAGTAAATAGGACTGGATTAGCCATAGGTTAAAGACTTTGCAAGATTTGCCATAAAATAACTTAAATAAAAGCATCAAAAGGATTAAACCAACCCAAATATAATTTCTATGTGTCTGTTGGGTCCTGTAGGATGGAGATGCTGAGATAGTTAGGAGTGTAATAGATTTCTTAGAGGTACATCTGAGAGCTAAAGGAGAAGAAAGTAAGATTAAACATAGAAAGCCATTAGATCATGACACAGATCTGGTACCTGTGGATGGAAAAAGGGAGAGGCTAACAATTTTGGGCAGGGAGAGTCTCAGACCATTGGGCAAACCTGACAAAGTCTCAACCAACCTAGCTACTCCGAAGCAAAGACTGTTGAAGAATCCTCCATGGAGAGAAATAGCCAGCCTCTAGTACCCCCTTAGTGTCCAGTCTTTGGATGGGAACTTCCTGGGGGAAATTCTAGTTTGATTCATCATCTGAAGAGTATCCTGAAGATGCAAACAATTGCAGGCTGTCAGGTAACTACACTTCTTGCACATGAATGGCAAGTTCTTTCCTTAGGTAAGGTCCTATGGGCAACTCTTCTGGCTGCCACAGAAAGCCAGGAAAAAGGTCAATACTGTTTGTGAAAATACAGCCATGTCTTAAACTCAACAGCATTAAACTGATAATGTCTGATATCCAACCAAAAGCTATTAAACATCTGAAGACAAAGGAAAATATGACCAATAAATAGGGAGAAATCAGTCAATTAAAACAAACAAAAAAAAAAACTAAGTCAATAAAATCAGCCCTAAAAAAGTAGAGGTGATAGAATTTGAAGACAATGATTCTAAGAGTCATAAATTATCTCAATATCATAAAGGATGTAAAGCAAAAATGAACATAATGAGGCAAGATAGCAAAGATATAAATAACCAAATGAAACCTCTAAAGACAATTATTTAATATCTGAAATGAAAAAGAAGCCCTAACTATGTGATGTGTATAAAAACTATTAAATATAAAGACACAGGAGAGTGAAACATAAAAAGATGAAAAAAATATATTATACTGTCTGGTAGTTGCCCAATGG